GATGGAGAGGTGAGAATCTTTGGTGGATCTGAAAGCAGCAATACATAGGGGTAATTGTTTGCCTCACGTGATATAATAAATACGGATCTTGGTATAGAACAATAAACTATACTTACAATAAACAGTCAAGTATGCTGGYTGWGARTAMTCGSTKCCTAGGCTATTCTCAGCTTTGCAACGGTAAGTYCCCTCGTCTCCTYTCAYCAGGTTATTTATCKTCAAAACGACCTCGCTACTGCTTGCTAAATAAGGGACACTAACACTGTACTTGACGCTATTTCTGGTGTTGATCTTTACATTGCTGTATAACCATGTTATCTGTGATATGGGCTTGCCTTGCACAGTACAATTWAAAGTCACAGGTTGATGTTCAATCTCTGTARCATTCTGCGGTGATGCAGATATCTTTGGAAGATCTGAAGATCAAACAAACACTATTCGATGATTAAGTCAAATATTACATTAGTTTGAAACGTAAASTATACTTACAGTGTACAGTCAAATTCGCTCCAGTGGACGATACATTTTCTCCAATACCATTAGATGCGTGACATGCGTACACGCCCTCGTCAAACCGGCTGACATTTAGAATCACGAGCGATTCGTTGAAACGTTCATGAAGCCCAGCAATGGCAGATGTTATTCTTGAATCATTTGTGTCAACAGGAAAACCGTTTTTTAACCATTTTACAGTTGGTCGTGGCCTGCCTTCTACTTCACAATTCAGCGTAACAGTGCTTGATTCGTTTGTGGTGTCGTGGAGTGGAGRATCTCGTATGAAAGGTGGATCTGGAAGAGACGTCATAAAATGAATCGATTCATCAGTTGGGTTGTTGTGAATTCTTAGTTTTCTTTGGGGTCTGGTGCTGCGATGCATTTTATGTTTTCAATGAGTTGAACATCTAAAATGTKTGCGCTGCATACCCCTGCACCATCCCTGGATCGCATTTAATTATACATAGAATGACTGTACTTACAGTTGACAGTAAGTTGTCTTGCAGAAGAAGAAACATTGGATTGGATACTGTTGCTGATGACACATGTAAAGTTGCTCTGATCTGTTCTGTTCAGATTGGTGATGGTAAGCCAAGATGTGACACYACTAGARTCTCCTGATTGACTGACTCTCAGCCTCGAGTTGGTGTTGATGTTAAGTTTCTGTSCATTTGYAAACCATTYCACCATCCTAGGTACAGGTTTACCGTCAAAGCGGCAGGAGAGAGTAACATTTTCTGTCTCTGTTTTAGTGAGTCCAGATGGAGAGGTGAGAATCTTTGGTGGATCTGCAAGCGACAAAGTATAGCTACATRTTTGACTCATGAGATATAATAAATGGGGTCTTATGCTATTCTCAGCTTTGCAACGGTGAGCCATGAAATGAAGAACAAAATTGATTCCTGCGGTTTAAATGTAATGCTTAAGTACAAACCTGGACAAGGGATCATGTCATTGCAATTTTTTGTCACATTGGTTGTTTTGAGTTTGATGTTGTACCAGGGACAACCTGGACGAGTGTCGTTTGAAAGAACGAGCTGCTGCCTTTGTTTGAGTTTGTTGCATTCCTTGAATTGACAGTCAGTCCATCCTAGATACGATTATTAAATCAAAAAGTCATTGAATGAGAGCTGTAAAAGGTCTCATTTTTTTAACCAATAAATCATCCGTGGGTGCGTGGGTGCGTGAATG